CTTCAACTAACACAAACATTGTGGGATCTAAATGGGTATTCAAAACAAAGTTAAATTCAGATGGAAGTGTGGACAGGTTTAAGGCACGCTTAGTGGCAAGAGGATTTTCACAAGTACCGGGGGTAGACTTTGAAGAGACATTCAGTCCAGTGCTCAAACCCACCACCCTACGGTTAGTAATTGCCTTAGCTACAACCTTATCATGGCCACTAAGACAGCTAGATGTGAAGAATGCATTTCTTCATGGCCAGCTTAAAGAAGTGGTATATATGAAACAGCCACTAGGATTCGAAGATCCTAACCATCTGGGTTATGTTTGCAAACTCAATAAATCCATCTATGGTCTCAAACAAGCCCCTAGAGCATGGTTCGATACCTTCACTCTTCATTTATTAAAGCTGGGATTCCATTGCAGTCAGGCAAACTCTTCTTTATTTGTTTTGCATAATGGACAAGATACAGCTTTGCTTCTTTTATACGTGGATGACATTGTACTTACTGCAAGCTCTTCATCTCTACTGCAGCATATTATTGAAAATCTTAGCAATAAGTTTGCTCTCAAGGATTTAGGCTTTCTAAGCTATTTCCTGGGTATTGAGGTTACCTTGTTCTCTGGTGGTATATTCTTGTCTCAAACCAAATATGCCAAGGATATTCTTACTAGAGCAACCATGGTTGAAGCCTCCATGATTGCAACACCAATGGTAGTCAAAGAACCACATACACCAAGAGACGAGGACCCTGTTGATGCTCAAGAATACCGAAAAATTGTGGGTGCTCTACAGTACTTAACCATCACCAGAGCTGACTTATGTTTTGCAGTTAACAAAGTCTGCCAATTTATGCAACAGCCTACCTTTGCTCACCTTCGTCAAGTTAAACACATCCTACGCTATATCAAAGGGACTTTACACCATGGCCTTAGTTTCTACTCATCCAGTACACTATCTCTCACTGGGTTTTGTGATGCAGATTGGGCAGGATGCACCATAACGAGAAGAAGTACTACCGGCTTTTGCATATTCCTTGGAGCTAATTGTATTTCTTGGTCTTCAAAGAAACAATCCACTATAGCTCGCTCCACTGCAGAAGCAGAGTATAGAGTGCTAGCCACTACTACAGCTGAACTTGTGTGGATCACTTATCTTCTTCGTGATATTGGCATTTCACTCCTAAATCCTCCTCAAGTGTTCTCAGATAATATTAGTGCTCTACACATGTCTATTAACCCTGTGTTCCATGCTCGAACAAAGCATATTGAATTAGATTACCATTTTGTTCGAGAAAAGGAAGCACTTGGTTCTCTGGTGACGAGGTACGTTCCAAGCATGGATTAGATTGCAGACATCTTTACCAAGCCCTTACCTCGCACTCAGTTTTAGTTCTTACGGTTCAAACTGGGCTTGGTGGTTTCTCCCCAGTCCAGTTTGAGGGGGAGTGTGAAGGAAGTTGAATCAAGTACAGAATCAGGACCTCAGCCAACAAAGGAAACAACCAGTAAAAGGAAAAGGGAAAGTATCTCAGGCAATTGAAAACCAAAGCACAGTACAAGGAAGAAATTGGTGCAACGGTCATTTCCATGATCTTAGGCAAAATTCTAGGATCTAAATATATCCCTGTAATTATGCTTCTGTAGCTATATATATACACAAGTCTTGTACAGAAAAATACAATCAATACAGTTTCAGTATTCTCATTTTTGGTTTTGCATTTCTTCATCTGGATCTTTATAGGTTGGAAAAGTTGGATGCACTATTTGAAGCAGAGGTAATTGCCAAGTCACCACTGCCACCAGACACTTTTTCGTCTCTTAAAGCAATAATTGTTTGGTACTGT